TTTCCTGATTAATATATCTTAAACGTTGTTATGCATAATTTATAACTCCTAGGGTATCAAAAAAGTCCCCGCCATTAAGCAAAGGCCCCTGCACTTGCTTGGGGTTTTTGACTACTTTTTGTTTTTCTTGGAAATTGCTGTTAAAAATAACAAAGCACATCGTGCGAGTTCTTCCTTGCTTGCCTGCCTGCCAACTTACATCCTTCCTTTATATCCCACTGCTCTGTCTCTCTCGCTCTCTCTCTCTGTCTTTCTTTCTCTTTACAGAGCTTTCTTTCCACTTGTTGTTGTTTATCTTAGTTATACCATGGCCTCCCGACACCCACTTTCAGTAGCACTCTGATTCAATCCACCCACGAAATCTGCCAGCAATCCAAGCAGCCAGCCCCCACCAACCTCCCTATTCATTTACTTCACTGCGAATTGGTGGAAATTGAGACACACAGGAGCGAAGACGACAGCCAGCGAAACGGCAATTGTATTTATTTGCACTGCTAAATGGCATAATCGAAGACAAGTCGGGTCAAGGACTTGCCAACAGCCGCTGCTATGGGAATTCTCAAAGCGAATCCCGGCCGTGACAGGCTTTGTTGCCATGTTGTCTCTCAATTGCAATGGATCTTCTTGTGCCCTCGTTCTGAATCAGCTTTTAGCCTCGCATTTTGGCTTCTTAGATTGACATACACTGGGGAGAGGGAGAAAGAGAGACAGAGAGACAGAGAGAGAGAGAGAGATGGTGAAGAGTACACAAGTAAACAAATCTGAAAATCTCAAACAGATTGAGGACTTGGTTTTTGAAGAGTCACAAAAGAACCCAAGAGAGGAATGTGATGTAAATGATTTGCAAGGGAAATATTCAATAGAAATGAGGCATTATAAGGCAAAAGGATTCTCATATAACTATAATTACAGCACAAATCTACATAGTATTGCAGCATTGAGAAAGGATTAAGGACTTAAACAACATCATTTGATAAATAATTTCACTGCTTATTTCATTGCAAGTCAAAAATAATTCCTAGCAAAATTCAGCAACCAATTAAATCAATTCTCGCTTTCATTTAAATGAGGCCTAATTTTAGGCCAATATATTTGTAACAGTGAAACGCATAACCTTTGGCCAGAGAAAACCCTGAGCCACAGACAATTGTTTACACAAAAAGCATTGGTTGCCATTTGGTTAACCCTTTAGAATCTCTGTTTGCTTTTCCTAATGAGCCCTAATCGATAGATGGATGGCTGGTTAGATTGGGTTGGGTTGTAGGCAAAAGGTAAGAGGCCTCGCTTGTTGACAGATTTTCTAGCCTCAAAAACATTTTGAGGCTGCTTGGAAACCAGGGAAAACTTCAAAGCAATTTTAGGTAAAGTTAACAAGGAAAACATTTATTAAATTCCACTTAAGTTTCCGCAAGTCTTTAGTTGCGCGCTCTCTACTCATAAGCGCATCCCCTGGTTTTCCTTCAGAGGCAGGGGCCAGGAAATTCCCAGCTAAATAGCAAGAAAAGCTAACTAAGAAGTTGTTTCACTTTTTTCTCTCTCAACATATTTGAGATGCCATCTTATCTCTGGAAAAGCGCCTGGCATAGCTCACTAGCTCGCTCTCTGTCTATCTCCATCTCTCTCTCTTGAATAAAGGAAGTTTTGGGGCTTTGCGAGCGAGCAATAACTTTAAAAGAAAGACACAACTTGGGGCTCAAATTGTTTGTCATCAAATTATGTGCAAGTCGATTGTTGTTGCTGATGCTCTGGGCTCTGTGCTCGGTTTTTTTTGTTGTTTTGGTTTCGGCCAAAAAACCATAACCAAAACTCTAGAAAAAATGCGGAAAGAACTAGCATTGACGCTTCGAAGTTTGTATACTCTAAACACCAAAAAAAAAAATTTATATATACATATATAATTCAAATATAATATTAATATATTATATATATTATTATATTATATATTATTAATATAAATATAATATTTCGACATATTTTGTAAGTTTTCGGTACACTTTTTGAGTTCAGAAAATTGTCTTGAATATTTTCGGAATTTTATTCAAAGGAAATGTTTTTTGGACCCTTTTTTGTGTATTTTTTATATCAATTTTAGCGAGAATTTATATCTTTTTAGAGTGCCTTTTCCCATTCCCCATTTTTCTCATTTTATTATTTATGAACTACTATCTTTGAGATACTTTCCGAAAATATAAATTTCTGAATATTCCTGAACTAAAAACATCTTTAAAAATGTAAAATACCTTTCGGGGGTATAGAAAAAAAAGTGTAAAGAAAGAGAAACAAAAAAAGGGTCATCATTAAAATGCTGTTACCGAAACGCCAGAACCTTTGGACTCTGGGCAGTGGGCAGTTGGAAACCACTTCGGGATTCGGGAGGCTTCTGTGTCGACAGAGGGCAACCGCAGCCAAGATTGCTCAGGCATATACCCTTTTTTAATTTGCAACATGTCATTGGCAGAAAGACAAGCAAAAGGGACGCGTGGTGCAAAACGTGGAGAGTGAAGCCCATGAAGCATGGGCAGAGTTTTGGTTGCTGCTCGCAGGCTCCGTAGTCGGCTGCCTGCACCTCGGCCTTCGCCCGCCAGTCAGTGCACGCTTTGTTGCGCCTTTTGTTGGGCTTTCTCTACGCTTTCTTCTCTTCTGCTTCTGCTTCTGTGTTCCTCCCTTTTTTGGGCGCTTGGCCCGAATAACCCAAGCAAAAACAGAATTAGCAGCAGAAGTGGATGTGGAAGCAGCAGCGATGACGACGATGACAGGACAGCGAAGGGGGGAAAAGAAATACAAGATGGAGCGCAGGCAAAACAGGGCACAGCCGAAATATCCACAACTGGGGAAGGTCAAAAAGTTGTTAAAAAATTATTTATGGAAACAATTATAGCAATAAATAAATTGCAGCTCAAAAGCCAATAACTTGGCATGGAAGGATTATAATTATTTAAGAAAGAGAATTGAATTTACACTCGGAATTAGCTGGAAAATTCTTTAAATATATAATATAAATATAATTCTTTAAATATAAATAATTCCTTAATATATATATATATTAAAAATTGTAAATTTTGTTTTCAACCTTCTAGATATTCCATATAAAATTAGCAAACGAATCTCTCGATCAACCCACCCACGATGGTCACCGCAAAAACATATACAATGTGATAGACGATGGGAAATGACCAACAACACAAAAAAAGGAGGAAAGAGAAAAAGAAAGGTAGCTGGAAAAGCAGAAATCCACAGAGAGAAGAAGAAAAAGAGAAGACGGTGAGGGGGGGATGCTATGCCAGATAGGAGTAGAATGTCATACAAATGACCCATATTAAATTTATTACGGCAACGGGAGGCAGCACAATGAAATCCAATAGCCAGGGGAAAAAAGAGAGTAGCAGGGGCAAAAAAAGAGAGTAGCGTGGAGTGGGCGTGGGCGTGGAAGCTAATGGCAAACAAAACAAATCACCGACGCCAAAACCGACAGACATAAAAACATACATATATAATACATAATGCCACTCTATATATAGGAAATTGTTCTCCTCTTTTTGATGGGGATGCAAAGGGAGAAAAATCAGCTTAAAGTCGATTTTGTGGGTAAACTTTTTCCTTCTTGTTTTTCCCTCTTGTTTTGTTGGGATTTCCCTACGTTTCTCGGCATTATTGTACTTGTCGTTACTTTTTGGTCCGTCGTTTTGGGGTCCACAAATTGATTTATAATCCTGTCCCCCCAGTCTCGAGTTTCTCCCCTTTCTTTTTTTGTTTGTTGTAGAAAGTTTTGTCTTTTCAGCGTTGGCGCCTCAGATTTTAATGAAATATTTCAATTACGTTGCCATTAATTGGTAAAACCTTTTCCACTGCATAATCGAGAGGTGTCGCATCGCATTCCCATTGCCATCGCCATCGCCATCGCAAGAGCATCACAGCATTGCGCTGAGTCGTGTCGAATTATCCTTTTGTCTACCGGTGGCACCAGCCAACGACATGTGGCACGAAGCCCATTATCCTTGCAGCTAATTAAGAAACGTGAGACAAATGACAAGCGCAGAAATATTGTACGACAACAAGTAAATTTTGTTGTGTTGTGCCAAAGCCACAACCTCAAGCGACACACAGAGAGAGGGAGAGGAGAGAGAGACTGACATGTGCGAGTGCAAATAAAACTGAGAAACGACAGCGCGTACAATAAATTGAAAATATATTGCAGGGGATGAGTGAGTAATCGACGAGGTGGATGCTCTGCATCTAAACTTAATGGCAAACACAATATTTTTATTATTTGTTCAACTATAGCACTAGGAGCTGCCGTACACGCATTCGATGCAGAGCTATAAAATTGTGCAGTGCCATAACATAACCAGAACAGGGCGATAATTCTGTCGTTCTCCGCTTAGCCATAAATAATTAGAAATTTATCTGCAAAAAAAAAAAAGGCATCTGAAAGTGTTGAAAGAAATCGTTAAGCAGACAGACGACTCCTTATCTCTTGGTTCGATTGTTTTTTAGAGATATTATAATGTGATTGAGTTCATACACAGAAAATAAAAAGAATGCTAATAATCATACTAAAAATATTTATATTCTGTTGCTAGATTAAATTGTTGCAAAAATGAATGCTATTATCAATAGAAAAAAGTTAATAGAAATATTAACATATTAAAATTAAGAAAAATCAAACACAAATTTTAGTTTCCCCATCGCTGATGACTGGATGCGTGCATATATCGGTAACCCTTTTGAAGGCGATTACTCAGCCTCGCAAGAAAGCAAGTCATCAAGCTGTGTTCGCAATTTGGCCAGAAAATGTTTTTTATTGGATTTGTTCTAAAATCTTGTGCTCCCTTTTAGCTGATTTGCCTGATTTAGCTCCCAACTTAATTAATTGCATTCCAAGTAGACCTTAAATCCTTTTGCCGCCTTTCCAACTTATTGGCAACCCTTTTGAGAAGGTGGAAACCCTTTAAGTTGGTGCAAACCCTCTCATGAAAATAAATCCATGTGTCAATGTGAAAATTTGCAGTCAGAGTGCGAGAACATTTATTTCAGAGTGAAAATTTGTCATAAATCGTTTTAGCAGACGAATCTTCATTCATTCAACATTTTTCTGTGTACCACGGCAAACCCTCAATACCCGATTGAAAGGAAAAAATAAATATAAAAAAACACATTGAATAAGAGGCAGCAAGGGAACGACACTCGCACATAAGTAAGTACATGTCTCTGGCAAAAACATGCTCGAGCACACACACATACATACAATATATCCACATAAAGCTCTTTGGGGCTTAAGACAGACGCAAGAAATTTATTAATTATCAATTCGATGTCCGAGGTCGAGGCTGCAGAACCTCTTGTGTGTGTAGCTGTGATGGTACGGACGGGTCTCAATCCATACAAACACCCTCAGACAATCACAGCAAAGTCCTGATTGGCATTTAAAGCTCTTTAGGAGAGAGGCAGAAAGAGTGAGCGAGTGAGAGAGAACTGTACGAGTGGGCGTACTAGCTGAAGAGGCTGACAGCAAAAATCGAAGTAGAGTGGCTACAGTGAGCCTCAGCTGAGCTGCTTAACGCTGCCAGAGTTCTGACATAATCCATGCAATTGTAAATTTAATAAGGGTTTCCCGGCAAGGGGCATCCGCTCCGCTCAGAGCTTTGTTTGTGTGGATGGGGATGGCTGGCGCCCCGCCCCACTCAAGACAGTGGAGTAGTCAGGGCAATTAAGCGTACGAAGTGGCTCTGGCTCTAGCTCTGGCTCTGGCACTGGCACTGGCTCCGCTTTACTTTGCTTTACTCTGCTGCTGAGCTTTAAGAAAATGAGCAAAGAAAACATTCAAGTGTTCAAGTGTGTAGTTCGAGTGGAGTCGGGGGGGCATGGGGGGCATCCTTCACTGTTCTGGTCTGAAGGTCAGCCAAAAGGTTGCAAAGCCATTCATAAGGATTCCCGGCCCTGATTGAGCGGACGAATACACTGAAATAAATTACAGCAGGCCAGAGATTACACATCTAGTCTAGTCTTACACTTTTAAATCATTTCTTTCAGCAAATCTGCGAAGATATTCCCGAGTATTGCATTCATTTGATTTCAGAAAATCTTTGCTGAAAAACCCACTGAACCGTACTGAACAAAAGTAACGGGCAAGTTAGAAATTTAATTTAATTAAACAAATTAAATAGTATTCAAAGCACTTCTATTGATCCGCACCCAACGTTTCTTTTAGAAAATTTCTGCATAACTTTTACAACTAAGATTTAAATGAAATACAACATATATTAAAATCAAATGAAATACTAATTTTATTCTTAGGCATTTCAAACACCTCTGTTCAGAAAGAAAACCCTCGTATTCCCTGAATAAATACCGCCTCATATTAAGGTAAATTAGCTAAATATTTTATATAACTTTCAATCGTAGTGATCAGTCTTTTATTTATAGTTACAGCGGAAGAACAAAAAATCGCAATGGAATTTAAAAAAACGGCTTTAAATACCGCAAATCAAAATAAAAAAATTATTTATGATCATCTTTATAGTTTGAAGTTACTCGACAACGAGGAGAAGACGGCCCAGAACTTTGCCGACTGGATACTAAACGATATGGACATTTGCAGTCGGGGCGCAATGATTGAAGCTCTTTTTGTGCGGTTGAGAATACATGCCAACGAGCAGGAACCCCATACTGCTGTGGGAATTTTACGTGTACTTTCTCATGTTACCACACATTGCACCGATATTAAAGTGCAGCATATGGCGTTGTGGTCAAATGCACTAGACGAGCTGAGGAAGATACTGCAGATACTAGAGATACTGGATACAGTTGTGAGCGGAATCCTGGATTTGGCCAGCAATTTTATTGCCTGCTCCTGGATGATACGCGACGCCTTCCAAGAAACTGGGCTGCTCGACGAAATCCTAAAGAATTTGTACCACCCATCGGGAATGGATGCGGAGACGTGGATCGCCAAGAGTGTGGTGCTGCTGTATCAATTTCTGAAGCACAAGACACCGGGACCACCAATCTTGGCTTTGGTAAACATAGCCAAGGCTTTGGCCTATCTTTTAATGGTCAATCAGGATGCGATTATCGTGCTGCCATTGCTTAAAATCACACGACTCGTCGCCGAGCACCAATCGGATATTGAACGGGTGATGATCAAGACGGGCTTGTTGGCCAAAGCCGCTCCGTTTGTTCTAAGTCCCCTCTGCGAGGTGAAGCGTGAGGCCATCTTTATTTTGGCCAACACCTGCCAGCAGTATGGCCCAATAAAGCGACACCTGCTGTGTCGATTCCCCAGCAACATTCTTAAATATATGCATCACTTGTTCGGACATCGAAGCAAGAATATTCGGACCATGGCGTTGCATCTGCTCACCGGCATTATCGATAATCGTGCCATTGATCCGAGCCTAATGGATGGCCTCATCCCGATGGTGATTCGGTGTGCCAGCAAGCGGGAGCATCATCTGGAGGTACGTCTGGCCGCTGGCTGGACATTGGCCAGTCTGGCCCTCCACCTGAACATCAAAGGCATGACCTACTTCATGCACTCTGGCGGCGTCCATCAAATGTGCCACCTGCTGCAAACTGTGGACGAACTGCCCATACAATTAATCAGAAACATTTTAACTTCCTTTCTAAAAATATGGGAATCATTTAGAGACCTTTCCCGTAATTTAGTGGCAATCTTAAGAGAATGTGGCATTATGGATGATGGACTGCAACGATACATAGATAGCGAAAATTATGCCGTCAGGACTCTGGCAATCCTCCTGGCGGGGCATCGTGGCTATGACATTTGTTGGGTCGAAGTCTTGGCTAATGTAGATAATTGATTTATGGGAGAATTGCACACAGATTGAGAATTTTTTATTTAAATTAAAATTTTACTTTTTTCCAATGTCAACCCAAGAGGAAATGTTAATAAATAATCAAATAAAAAATAAATAAAAAACGCTAAATATAGTTTCCAGATTCCAGTAATATGATTTATATGCGTAGCTATAGATTAAAATTCATTTCAGTGAATATTTTATTTATATTCGTGACACCTTGTGACTCGCATAAATGTTACTACTGCTTGTTCACAGGTAAGATACAAAGAGCCTCGAAGCAAACACAAATACATCAAATCCATCAAAGAAGAATCCTGATTTTTTTTAAGGTTTAAGGCTCGCTAAAAAGCTTTTTTTTTTTTTTCGAATCTTAGCTGGAATTTCATTAAGCTTAGTGTTTTCATTCATAGAATATCTTTAAGATATTATAAGCAATGGATGACAGTAGTTGAAGGCTAAAAGATGCTGCTTTCCCCTTATGGAATCAGCCTAAATAGTTAAGACCTTCGTTTGGGCCACAATAAAAATGGAAACATATTAAAACCATAAAAAGAAAAAAACAATTGCTTTGCTTAGTTGGGGAACGATTCAATTATTTTTACACATGCTAATTGAATGGCAACCAATCTATGCTAATACATATATTATTTATGCATTTTTCCACCAAAAATTTGTTTTTCCACATTTTTCCTCATTTTGTTGTTGTTTTTGTTGTACATTTTCCAGACGCAAACCATAAAAGTTCCTCTGTCGCATGGCGCTGGCCGCTTTTGCCATTTCAATTTGTTTGTTGGTTTCGCTTCTTTTTTTTCCACTTCTGCATTTGTATATCCTGTACGCTGCAGAGAGTCTTATGATTTTGGGCAGCAGTTTGCGACAATGAGTAGGGACGGTCGAGTATCGATGGGGTTCTAGTTTCTTTTCATTAATTCTTGTGCATCGACATCATATCCTCGCGAGTTTCCTGTAGGCTTGGCAGTGCAATGTCGTTCATGTGTTTCAGCGCCTGCTTTCGCTTAATCAGTTCGTCAACTTCATCCACCATAATCATGGTCGTTGCGATTAAGCGAAAGTCATAATGATTTCGCTTTTGGGCCTTTCGAGCGTGGTACAGGTGGTACCAAGCTGCTGTCACGGCAATGACATTGACCACCAATAGGAATTTCATTATCATAGTATTTAAAATGTTAAACTTTCTAGCTCAGTAAATGGAAGATAATTTACTGAATATTCGAAAATGACAGATCTTCAAAAGGTGAACTTTTCGAACATGATATTCGTATTTGAAAGTATATTTAGAAACTGTTCAAATAATGGAACGAACCTCTCAAACAAAGAACTCAAAGTAAATATCAAAAGAAATGTTGGGAGTTCCTTTAGCTTTCAATGAATAGATTTATATTTTGAAGGTAGCCCAAAGCTTTGGTGTTCCCAGCTATTCCCATAATTCTTCTTTCTTGACGCTTCTAAAACTTTTTCAACGATCTTTGGCAATCAAATAAATTTTTATTCTGAATTTCTTGAATTTCCAACTCTTTCCTGAGAGTAAGGAAAAGGGTATGCCCATCTTCGACAGCAACAAAATTTTAAATTTCTAGAGGATTTACATTTTTTGTTTTTGTGCAGAAATTTCACAAAACTAATTGTATGTAAATATGTCAAATGTATGTCGTCAACACCTGCATTTGTATGGGTGTACTTTTATGGATATGGGTGTATGGGTGTGCGTTGAATCTGTGTTTGTATTGCATATTGACAATTTCATAAATGCGGTAACATTTTCAATTAAATATGCGCAACTCTCGCAAACACAGCTGCACAAATCGCCACACACGACAGAGAGAGAGAGAGAGAGAGAGGAAAGAGACGCACTCTGCAAACCCAGTCATGTAGATGGATTTTTTTTCTGCCACGCCCACACAGGAAAAGCCCCTATCCCGCCTCTTCCCCACTACACACACACACACACACATAGTGGGGATACACCCCATCAATCCTTGGGAAAAGTCGATTGATATGTACATACATCCATATGTGTGTGTGTGTGCAGGTGTGCAGCTTTTTGGTCGGTTACAAATTGCAAATCAATCAATAAATAATTGAAATGAAAATCATTTTGCTGGTTTCAACTTATCTTCTTCAGCATTTCCTCCCACAACACGCCACCCAGCCCCGACCCACCCTAACGCTGCTATGCGTTTCGCTTCGTTTCGGCTGCGTATGCAAATGGGCCAAAAATTGTGTACATCTATCACTGGGATCGCATCAGAGAACCCAAATCGAAATCGCACCGACAGACAGACAGACAGACGGACAGAAAAGAGAGACAGAGACTGGCAGAGAGAAGAGCGAGTGAGTGGCAAAAGCTGCCATGAGTCCTTCGTCAGGTGTTTAAGATTAGTGATGGACGAAAACTGAAAGAAAGTTTCACCTTTTATTGCCAAAAGATAAATCACATGGTAATTTTCTATAAATTGCTTTTCTTTGGGATTTTCACCAGCTGAAGATATGAAATTTAAAGAAATTCTTTTAATGGATATATATAGGGATCCTTAAAAGCTCTCCTGAAATGTACAATTTAAAAAAAAAAAAGCTTATGAGAATTTTCTTAATATTCCAAGGATTTGTGACTAGGGTTCTGATCCTAAAGGATGTCGTAGGAGTTCCCCGATATATATTTAAAATATAATAGAATGCAATAATAAATTTAACCATTATATTATCATATTATGGATTTTAAACTACGGTTATGATTATGATTTTAAAAGGTATCACAATTGAAACCCATGTATCAAGATCTACTGAACTGCATTCGTGAATATTTTGCTTTCACTATGTACGTACCTGACTTTAAGATAATTCTTCAAGCAAAATATAATATTTTCTGCTTCCCAATTACCGCCTTTTAAACAAATGTAACATTATAGTCTGCTCTTGAGATGACCTAAAAATAAAAACAAAATATTTGTGTCTTAAATAAACAAGAAACTATTTCGCTTGCATATTTCTCACTTATTAATAATTACATTGACATAAGAAACGACAACTAAAAGTTCATCAAATTACCAATTAAATGTCTGTGCCATCCCCCTGGTCTGTTCTTGGCAGTAAATTCACTTTGTGTCAACTGTTATTATATTTATATTCAAACAGAAAATCATCCATCTCTGCCACAATAATATTTTTGTTGGTTTTATGTTACAGATTTACCCAAAATTCAGTTTGTCCATTTTGCTTTGCTGACATATTGCCCCACACACAGACACTTCCACAGAGGTCCCATAAATATATACAATTTATAACAATATTTTGTTCAATTACCAATTTCATGAAATCTATTTTGACAGTTTCCTTTTTTGCCACCTCCTTGTGTATGCTCTCATAAATAGGGGATTTATGATTTTTGTGGGGGGTTTGTGATGCCACTCGACACCACCAAGATCAACTGACTATAAGTCTTTAATATACCCGCCAAAGGGTATCAAAAATGTCGACGTGCTATGTTAGTCTTTCTCTGTCATAATTTGTTTTGTTTGGTATAATGCTGCTAACCGATTTGGCGCCTTGGTTTGCCAAATGTTAGTCATTTTTAAATTGAAATTCTCTCAAAAAAAATTCGCGCTGCCATTTGGGGGCCAGAGGTTGGATGGATGGGTATATATGTATAACTTCCACTAAACTCGTTTTCTGAGGCAGGGTTGGAAAATCGCTTAGCCAGCCACTCTGCTCCACTCCACTCCACTCTTCTACGGGTTAAATTTAATTTCCAAAAGTTCTACTCTTGTTTTTCAGTTTTCTTCATCTTGTTTTTTGTTGTTGTTTTTTTTTCTGTTTTTTTGTGTGCTTCGTTTTTGTCGTTATGGGAAAATCCTCGCACAAATCCTTTGAGCCAGCACACGAACAGCTGCTCTTTGGGGGGAGAGGAGCAGGAGATAGCCGAAAGCCGCCCAGCCACCAGCCGCCCAGCCGCCGGAGTCATATTGTTGCTGCTGTTGTTTTTGTTTTAAGCGTTTGGCTGCTTTGGTTGCAGATTTACGCACCAACAAATCGTGGAATTTTATTTTCGGTGAAGGGCGGAGGCATAGATGGGAGAATGGGCAAGTGCAGCAGGGTTGGGGCACAGCAGCAACAAGAAGGGCGCGACATTTTCAATTTCGTTTGCTGCACAAAAGTCCAACAACTGTCCGCACCGACACAGGCACAGCCATCGATCCGATCTTGATTGCATTTTGCAAATGCCAACAGTGACAGGGACGACACAGATACTCACGAGCACGCACAAACACCACTCTGCCCACAAGCACAGGGACACACATGGACTCACAAACACATGCATAGATACACTCACTCAAACAGTGTCACTACCCAAAGTCTCACCGCTGCGGCGACAATTCAATCAAGTTGAACGCCCTTCCAAAGCCTCAGCCATGGAGGACAAGGCAGGCATCTGCGGTGTGGCGTCTGCGGATGGTCTGCTCTGCTGCGAGTAGGTTACGGCACCATTTTCTATCTTTTATTGTAGTTTCCATTCAGTTAAACTATTTGTCTGTTACGATGCTAAATTTAAGCTCGCGGCAATGGAACAGGCAGTGCATCTACCAGATTTCTATATGACACTTCTCTTTATAATAATAATATAAATTGTAGCATTATTAATGAAGCGTTTCATGTCATGCAATTGGATCCACTATAACCCCCGTAAAATTCGAAATTTTTTCACCTATTCAAGGAAGTTTATTGGAACTGAGAATATATAATATATACTTATTTCCACCATTAAATCAGCTGTTTTTGGTATGGAATATTAAATCAGCTGTTATTATTTTTTTATTTATTTTTTATTTTTATTTGATAGGACATGGCGACTTTTGAGCATTTTTCGAGAAAACAAAACAGCAGAATCACTCGTGCTGAATTCTTGTCTAGCATATTTGTGCCATTCACTTATGGGAAATTAGTATAGCAAATAATATAGCCATAGCTATATCCATTCTTTAGAAAGCCTTTATTTATTGCAACATTTTCGGCACGGACTATGACTTTTATTTGTCAGTATTTAAACTCCATGTAATGTTGTATTCCCTGACTTTGCAGAGGGGTTTTTTCCGGAGACTTTTACAGTGACCCTTCAAGAATGTTTCATCTGTCAAAGGACAAAATAAATAATATCTGTAGCATAAGATAATATAGGGAAAAATTCACCTGGTTGTTTAAGTTTCTTATTAAAACATTTCTTCATCTCAACATTACATTTTGTGGGTATCACATTCCAGCATTTATATAGGGGAATATACGAACAATACGATTCAAGACGAGGTTGTTTCTTAATATCACACAATTTGTGACATTTCTCATCGGTAGCAACAAAATTAATTAAAATTTGAAGCAATGCTGAAGAAGTTGCAGGTAGATTAACCCAAATGAGATATTAATAGATTTATTACCCGCTAAAATCAGTAAATAGAACCTCATGCTGTGGAATCTTATGGTAGACTATCGAAGAACGAAGGTGTAGCTGAGATTATACGACTATTAACTGGATTTGTGTCGGATTTGTTATGCGTTTCACATTTAGAGATTGTGTAACTATTTTAGAGTTGAAACAAACCCACAGATACCCATGCATAAAGATCGTGTCCACTCCTATATTCGGGGAACTTATTTGCTTCATTTGCAACTGCAAATTATTATTAACTACATATTTTAGGAGCAGCTTTTCTCCCCATTCAAATTACAAGTAAGTACTTTTCGGTGCAAGGCCTTGCTCACGAGTGGCTCAAGGGCTCAAAACATTTTTAATTTCTAAATAAACTTTGCGGTTTCTGTCGGTGCTGTGCTGTGCTGCGTGGTGCTGTGCTGTGGGCTTTTGGCTGTTGTTTCTGGCGTGTCAGGAGCAGGACCCTCCTCTACAGGGCCTTCCAATCTAAATACAGAGCCCAAAAATAACCCCGAAAAGCCCTTCAAACAGAACTTTTCCTACTTGCAACGGCGTAAATGAAGTGCCGCATCAGGCATGAGGAGGGTCGTCGGGAGGGAAGGGGGCGCGAGTAAGTAAGTGTGAGTGCATTTGAGCGAGTGTGTGGATGAGGCAAAAGCGAGTGTGATTGTGCAAGTGTTTTTATTAAAACCAAATGACAAAGTTTTCCCTTGAACAGCAGCCGGGAGTCAGAGTCAGAGCGAGAGTCAGGGCCAGATCGAGCCAGAGGAGGAGCTCAAGCCCAGAGACCAACAATATAGTAAAATATCGTAACTGCCACGACCTATGAGCTACCTGGTACTTGACAAAGAGAGCATTAATATGCAGCGGAGGCTTTAAGATTTATTTTTAAATTGTAAATTTTAAAATAAATTGAAAATGGAATATTTATACGATTTTGGTACTAAGAAGGTCGGTAATAAAAATGTAGAGCGCTTTAACCATGACAGATCTGTGAGAATTATTTTCTTAATTTCAGAGGGAATATTTACACAATTGCGACCATTTCTGTTATACTATATTCGTAGAGAAAAATCATTTTCATAAGTGAACAAACTCAAAATTGTTAGAGTTTCTTAATTTTTATTAAACAGAACTTGATCCAATCTGATACCAGAAAAGTAGGCAGCTCTTATATATTTTTTATATATTATATTTATATATATTATATATTATATTTATATATATTATATATTATATTATATGTATTTTATTTTTTACACATCAAAAATCTATAAATTCTTTTTAATGGTGTCTCCAACTTAAACTTAAACTTATAGCCCCAATTTTTCACAACGATTAAAGGGGTATACAAATAACCCAACAACGTCAACAACAGCCAAAAGCTAATTTACACTTTTGTTGTTTCGGTTACTTTATATACGAGGCAGCAGCCCCCACCCATTACCATACCCATCTATGTGCCCCATCAGCAGCCAGCATGCACCGCCGCCGCCGCCATAATGGAAAAACTATTTTGCGAGGAACAAATGTTGTCAAAAAATTTGTGAATGCTAAAAAAGAGTCAACACACACACACACACACACACACCACACAGGAGTCAAGTGGAATGTGAATGAAGCAAGCACACTGCATGCATAAGGGGGAGGGGGGAAACGAGGAACGGAAAAACTGAAATAACCCAAAAATAAAAAAGAAAGAAAAAAAGATGAAAAAAACAAATCAAATGTGTGAACTTTAACACTATTTACCGCCCAAAAGAGTATGCAGCGGAAAAAGTTTATTCATTTAGCTGAACGAGCAAGCAGACGGCAGGAGCCAACCGCCAATCCGGCTCTTACAGCCCCCCCTCCGCCTGCCAGCCTGGCTGCATGCGTCGATCCATGCCGCAAGCACTTGCCGTGGCACTGGCACTCCAGTTCCCCACCATCCACACCATCAGCCATCCGCCATTGGTATCCATTCAACTCTTTCCACTTGAGGTATAGAGCATTTCGAGCTCATTTTGCTCACAAGTGGTCTCAATTTAAATTACTTATGCCATGTAAGCTCATTAAAATCAGATACAGATGCAGCAACAAATTGCAATTGCCGATACAAATGCACAGATACAGATGCAGATGCGAGATATAAATGCACAGATACTTGTACAAATACGAAAAACAGTCAGAGCTACAAATGCACAGATACAGCTACAGCTACAGAGATACAGTGTCACAGATACACAGATACATTCAGTGTATCTTTTTGTATGTACCGTATCGTATCTTGATTTCAGGGTCTACTCTAATGAGGTTTGAGGCTTTAGCCAGCATTGAGCCAGCAAATGAGGCGTATCCGTTAATTATTGACTCGAGTCGCACAAAAGCGAATTAGTGGATGGGGGGAAAATCAGGATCCTGTCATTATATACACAGCTTCATGGTTCATATAGAAAGGAGGGTGGGGAAAGATCTCGTCGCATAATCAATGGCATACGAGTGAATAATTTGTGGGTGAGTGTGTGCCTGTGTGTTCCACATTTACTGCGGTGATGCCCTTTCATTTGATGGGCTTTGAATATTATTGGTTTCAATTCATCGGATTTGTTTCCTGTATCGATGAGCTTTCCATTTCATTTGGTCTCTAGGTTTCACTTTCAATTCGTTTAAACTTAAATTCAAATATTATAAAGATCGATATATTCACGCGCTATCTATTGCATTTAAATTATATTTCTATATTTTTTGTCGAATTCAATCGGTTTCCAACAATCGATTTATGATTATTTCGAGCTATTATCGATTATAAATCGATTTTAGTAGTATTTAGTATTTTCTCTTGTCTACATTTTTTTTGAACGTTTTCTTACTCAACCCGAGTTCCCATTAGTATTTTTTATGCCAAAAAAAGGTCTCATAAAAAGTGTCATTAGGTGTCTGTCTGTACCCTTTCTTTCGGTTGCCAGTGGCCAGGCCAGAGCTAGTTCCGCTTCTGCTTTTTTCCATTCTTCCAACTATTCTCTCTATATATCCATCCCTGTACGAGAAAACTTCTGCTCCATGGCCGCCGCCGAATGGTTAAGGTTGAGGTTGACACCATGTCAGCGGTGAACAATTTATGTGTAGTGCTCGTATGTGTGTGCGAAAAAGAAAACTGGCGGCCACCTACGATGGGGAGGGGCGCAGAACAAAAAATGTTCAAACCGCCAAGCGGCACAAAAGTGTCCCGCGGACTAAGCGGACATTCATCCCTCACCGGCAGGCAGGCAGGGGCCAGATTTCCCCCGAATTCATCCTCTGGACATTTACCCAAAGACTCAACCTCTGGGACACCCTCTAGGAGAGAGAGTGGCACAATAAAAACTAGAAAATCTGTGGCCAGTCAATGCGGGTGCTTCGTTTTCTCACTTTTTTTTTTTGTTTCTCATCCAGAAGTTCATCAGGGTTTGGGTTCAGGTTTGGTGGGTTTCGACCGTCTGGTTTATTCAGATTCCGAACTTTCTGCGCGGGTTAATTGTTTTTCCTATTTTTTTTTCGCTGACACTGCAAGACTTAGGGAGAACAGCGAAAAAAGTGAAACACAAAGCCCCGAGAGCACACACAGAGCTTTGAATAACTTTAAGCAGCCACAAAATATTGGCTTAACGTGCCGGGGCGTTATATTTTTTTGTTTTCGGTTGCCACCAAAAAATATATAAAAGTGTGAAAGAAAGCAATAGAAAAAGGAGACCCGAGGCTAAGCGACAACATGCGGTGTGTGGCAGCCAGAGGAAAGTCTGCAAAACTGCGCACCACGACACGGTCCAAGTTCATTTGCAGTTTTTCTCCGCTCTGAGCCAAGTACAGTGGAGTACAATACAAATTATGTTTAGGCTTTGGGGTATGCACGAACAGTTAGGTGGATTGGAGAGTAAAGCGAAACAAAACAAAAAACGACGTTATGAATGGTACATAAAATCTGAATGATGAATGGTACGGGCACGGGTACAGGTACGAGTAAGTGGGATGCCTTGGCAGTACATACGTAACTAAAAATAAGATCTGATTGAGTACTCAAGAGCTGTAAGGGATAAACTGCTGTTGGTTTGGAAGAAGGAACACTTTAAATCAACTATAAATACAAAAGAGATGAATGTTGTAGAAACTTTGTAGATGTGAGATATCCTGCAATGAATATTTAAATTTATTCTATCATAATTGTAATTATGTGATTTTAGATAAATAGATTGAACTGGGGTTGTTTACTATTGAGTATTCTTGGGAGTGTGTTTCAATTTGGATCAATTCAAGAATGTATAAAAAAAAGTACAAAAATATATTATCGGAATCAATGTTATATCTAATTGTATACCGAAATGTGTATCTCAGAAATTATCCTGGATAATTCTCGTAATTTATTATAGTTCTGAGCATACGGAACGATTCGTAGATATATTAATATATATTATATAGATATAAATATAAATAAATAAAATCTTATAAAACAAAGGATCAGTGTAGGCATGAATCTTATAGCGGTTAAATATATTTATATTAATTAATGTATTTTTATTTAATTATTATTTAATTTAATTATTATTATTATTAATTTAATTAAATTTTATATAATTTCTACAGAGGAAGTTCTGATAGATTTACCGCCTCCTAACCTCTCTTCTCTGCAAAACCGGCATCACTTATTATGAATTTTTCCTGCCCAAAAGTTGGCTACATCTTAATCATCAGTATCCTTTAGTTAATGGAATAATCGAATCAAGTAATCCCATCTCGTGGCCACGAAATGCGATACCCTTTTGCCAGCGGGTAGATTGTTTAATTTGTTTCAACAACTTTTTTGCCGCTACATATTGACTTAAATTTATTTATTTGCCGCCCCTCGCCTCCACCCCTCGCTTTGTGCATTGTTTTGGTTGCATTTTGGCAGCGCAATTACACAGTCGCCTATGTAGTTATATCTTTCTCTCTTTTTGTTGTGTGTCGTTGTTTTCGCGAACGCCTCTCCATTGCAATGGCAACAATTGTGCTTGTTCTTGTTACTGCTCCTGTTTTCGAGAGTCGAGAGAGTACCGTCCATCCCCTCCCCACCCCTAGAGCGCCCATGTATTCCCTATAAATTTTTTACGATTTTATGCAATTGTATAGTTTGCAAAAGTTTGTTGCAGCTATTTTTCGGTGCCACGCCGTCGTGGCATTGTTTTTAACAGCAGCAGCAGCAACAGCAGGGAGTACAATGCACCAGTCGACCCGATCCGACACGCCCACTGGCCATACCATTCCTAGTCCTCCACCCCTATACATCCAAAAAAAAAAACAACAAAAAAAACCAGACCTTCTGCATCCTTTAGACCATTGCCACACCGCAAACGCGCCGAACAAATGAACTCGAATGTCGTTTTATATGCGTTCAGTGTTTATTGTGCCATTTTCTATGCCTCTCTGTGTCCTAGTCCTAGGTCCTAGTGCTAGGTCCTAGGCTTCTGCGCTACAAAACTTGCCAACAATTTGTTGGTTTCTTTCTTCTTTTTTTTCTAGCTTTTCCTGCCAACAAAAAACATCTTCAAGGCCCCGCTGCGGGGCACCCGACCAACATCGATCGTTTTTCCTTCCCAAAAGCTTTTGGATTAAATTCTACATAATTCATGGTGTTTACCCTACCCTACCACCATCGACTGGGGTCCCCCAAAAAGTTAGGACACTTTAATGTGGCCAAGTCTTGCAATGAAAAGAATGGCTTGGGCTCGGGCTCGGGCTTGGGCTCGGGCTGGACTGGCCTGGCCCAAGCTCTGCACGGCAGGAAGTTGGTGGAAAAGTTTATGCCGCTGTTTACTGACAAAATGTGATTGCTATGACGGTTACGACTTTGGTTTTGTGGAGTTAACTTGGGACGTTTTTTATTGATACAAAATATTGAAGAAGGAAATGCTGATTGTAGCAACAAAATGTTGCAAAAATCGAATTTCTTTGATTTTTGGTTTGTTTTGGGTGGCCAAAGGGACTGCAAGTTTTCTAGCTTAGAAAGGATCTTTGATTCCATTGAGACTGTGTATTTCT